TTTATAATCTTTTTAAACTTTTTTAATGCATTTTTTCTTACTTTCCCAATATTAACAAGTGTCAAAGGGCACTTGTTAGCATTTGCCTAAATAATAATATGATAAATTAACATGATGAATTATAGGCCCTGTTTGAGAAGTGTTATTTAGACTAAAATAGTCAATAAAGATAAAATTGGTTAAAATAGTCAATAAGATAAAATAAGTTAAAATAGTCAATAAGACAAAATATCACATTTAATCTATAATCATTTCAATCTTTTTTTTTTTACAACCATCAAATCGATTAAAAAAATAATTTTTTCAAATATAATTTTTTTAATCAAACTAGAATAATTAAAAAATTAAATTAAATAAAATAACTAACTTCTCCGACTAGGCATAATATTAGGAAAATTCTATTTTCACACACTCTTTTATCTCTGTATACATAATTTCTCAATGCACACACTTATGAAATTGGTTTTATGTTTTTGTTCTCAGTTCACACCTCACATGTTCCAATCATACCCTAAACTAACATCGTTGTACACACATCACTTAAACCATTTGTTCCACAGAAAATCAATGGTGTAGACCCATTTTTTATTCCACCCACCTTGAAAACACAATAACATCTTTTATAAGAAATCCCTTAGTAAATCGCTCCATGAATCTTCAAATTATCCAATAAACTACCTCCTTGGATTTCCACTTACATATCAAACTGATTCTTTTAATCAACAATCTAGTCAACATCGAAAAAGTCATTAATTGGCATCAACTCGTATTCAACATAGATCTTGAAACAGTATCGTTTTGTATTAAATTCCATTGAAAACATACAACTCCATCTATTTCTTATTTTTTTATAAATTCTCTTCTTTCTTTCTTTTTATTTTTATTTTTATTTTTTTTAATGGAAGCAATTAAATTTTGCTTATTCGGTACTGGTTATCCGAATGAAAAAGATTTATTCAATTTTTAACTTCTGAAACATGTAAAAAAATTCAAAACTTGGTTTCCGAAATGAATTCTTAAATTCGAAAGTTGAGTTCTAAATTTGGTTTATATCCAAATTCGAAACTTGATTTTCGAATAGAATTAATAATTTCGGCAATGGATATCCGAAAAAAGTAACATGTTTCGGCACTGGTTTATCGAATTAAAATTGTGAAAAAAATTTTGAACAAAAAAACTTACATTTTCATAATTGCTTTTGTTGTAACCAGGTATATTGTTATTTGAATTTGAATTTCCATTGATTTGCAACTCTTCCATCACAAAAATCAAGAATTATGGTGGATTCTAATGACAAAACGATATAATCAATAGAGTATAAACTTAGAGAGTAAAGCAATATGAAAGTATTGCTTTGTAAGCAATAGATGATTATACAATGGGTAGCAAATAATGGTCAATAGAATAAGTGAACAACAATGGAGGAAATGAGAAATAATTTCAGTTTTTTTTTACTTAAGAGATATGCACTGAAATTTTTTTTAATTTTTAAATGATGTGTACAAAAAAAAACTTTGATTTAATGTTATTAGTGTGTTTTGATATCTATTATGGTCAATTTACTTCAAAATAAAATTATCATTAAAATAATATTTTATTAAGGGGTTGTTTGGAGTGTCCTAAATAAGTGCACTTTTTGTCTTTTTAGACTAAAAAATTGAGTTTGAAAATATAGATGTTTGGGTTAATTTTTTGACTTTTTATGGAAAAATGTGTAATAAAAAATTGTAAAAATTGATTTGTAGTGAAAAATTCGAATCGGGAGTCGTGCAGCCATAATTGTTGACTTTTGGTGAATAGTGTTAACTTTTTAAGTAACTTTTTGTCTTTTTATCTTTTTTGAAAGATCCCAAACTTGCCCTAAATATGTATACAGATATAAATAAGTGTGTGAAAATAAAATTTTCTATGATATTACTCTAAAAACAAGTATATAGCATATATACATAGGGTTAAGAGCATCCACACCAACCTCTTCAAATTTTTAGTTAAATTAAAGTTATTTTGTTATTTTAGCTAGTCACCTTTCAGCACCTACTACATCAAACTCTCTATTCTAACTTATTCTTATTAAATATTATTTTCTTATTATGTTTGTTAGTCATTCTTTTTTTATTAAATCGATAAGTTACTGCCCAAACAATTCTTAAAAAAAGAAAAAAAAAATTTACCGTTGACTGGCCGGACGTCCAGCCGGACTTTAGGGTAGACATCCGGTAACACACAAGTAGCGATGAACAGTGTCTCGCTTGTTGTAACGAGTTGCTGTAACCATCGTAAATTTTGACGAGCTCCAAGCAAATTTGATGGAGTTGATTTTTTGAAGTTTATTAGCTAAAAATGATTTTGAAGAGCTTGATGAGGATGCTCTAAGGGGATGATAGCCGTTGAAGTCAAACACGTTTTTGCTTTCATTGTGCTTGAAAAAGTTCAAAAAAAAAAAAAAAAAAAAAAAAAAAAAAAGAAAAGAAAAGAAACCTCTAAATTTAGAGTTCTAATTAAATTTTAATGATGCGATAAAATTAATAAAAAGAAAAAAAATTAGTACAAAATATCACATCACAAAATAAGTTCCACCTATTAAAGCACACTTATTAAACCTCTCAATCTTTTTTCAAAAAAGAATGGTGACAATTAACAAGTTGACAGAGGGTTAGTTTAGTTGGGCTAGGCATAATATTACTCTAAAACCAAGTATATAGCATATATATTATACATGGGGCTAAGGGGCTGACAGCAGCAGAAGTCAAACACGTTTTTGCTTTCACTGCGCCCGAAAAAGAATAAATGAATGGTGACAAAAAAAAAAAAAAGTTGTTTGGAATGAACTAAATAAATGTACTTTTTATTTTTTTATGAAACAAAAATGTTAGAAGTTCTAAAAATTCTATTAAAAGTTTTACCAAATGTCTCACATGGGTGTGGGACCCACATGAGACCCACATTGTGTGGGTCCCACACCCATGTGAGACATTTGGTAAAACTTTTAATAGAATTTTTAGAACTTCTAACATTTTTGTTTCATAAAAAAATAAAAAGTACATTTATTTAGTTCATTCCAAACAACTTTTTTTTTTTTTTGTCACCATTCATTTATTCTTTTTCGGGCGCAGTGAAAGCAAAAACGTGTTTGACTTCTGCTGCTGTCAGCCCCTTAGCCCCATGTATAATATATATGCTATATACTTGGTTTTAGAGTAATATTATGCCTAGCCCAACTAAACTAACCCTCTGTCAACTTGTTAATTGTCACCATTCTTTTTTGAAAAAAGATTGAGAGGTTTAATAAGTGTGCTTTAATAGGTGGAACTTATTTTGTGATGTGATATTTTGTACTAATTTTTTTTCTTTTTATTAATTTTATCGCATCATTAAAATTTAATTAGAACTCTAAATTTAGAGGTTTGTATCATTTTTCTTTTTCTTTTTTCTTTTCTTTTTTTTTTTTTGAACTTTTTCAAAAGCAATGAAAGCAACAACTCTATGTCATGACACAAGACCATGTCACAAATGATGCTCTGAAAACAATTAGATGTAGGACCAAACTGAAGAACTAACATATTACAAGGAATTATCAATGTTAAAACTTACAGTTTTTCCTTAATGATTTTTATGTTAAAACCTTAATTAATAATCATATCCTCGATCATCATGTAGAAAAAATCCTCTTCTTTATATTCAACAAACAAAACATCACATCCAACCCATAATCATTATACTCTTCTCTCACAAAAAAAGTTAAAAAAGTCAAAAAGCCAAAAAGTCCTTCCCAAACCAAGCTTTTTAACACAGGCTAAAATAGCCAAAAAAGCCAAAAAATTAAAAAGCTAACCTACTTCCCAAACGGAGGCTATGTTAACTTATTAGGTCTCACCACTTATATCTGCTCTTAATATAGTTATAACAACTCATATGTTAAACTAAATATGATAGTTATTTAAAAAATAAATAAATTAAATTTAATAAAAAACAAAATATAAAACAACAAAACAACACTTTGAGTGAATTTAAGGCCTCGTTTGGGAACAGGCTAATTTAGTAACTTTTTGGCTATTTGGCTAAAAAGGTAGGTAAAAAAAACTTGTATGTTTGGGATGACTTTTTGGCTAATTACGAAAAGATGTGCAAAAAGTAGAGAGAAAAGAGAATCTTTGACTTTTTGGTATGGGTTGTTGGCTTTTTGGCTAATTTAGTAATTTTTTGACTAATTGGCTAAAATAGCCTCTTGCCAAATGAGACCTAAGAGTTTAAATTATGAGTTCTTAACACCACTGCTGGAAAACAGATTTTTAGTGGCGTTTAAAAAACGCCGCTATAAGTGTCAAAAACGCCGCTAATTCCTTTTCCGACGCTTAGAACCAAACGCCGAGGACGCGGCCGTTGTTATAACTTTGTGGCGTTTTGAAAATGTCGTCATATTAGTTTATGCGGCGTTTTTAAAAACGCCACCAAATGTCCTCCTAAACACATGCTGACGTCACTGACGATATTTAACGACGTTTTGGAAAAACGCCGTCATATCCCCCTTTTTTTTTTTTTTTTTTTGAAATTGTGCTAATTTTACTTGATTGAATTAAAAATACCTGTAATAACATTAACATAAAATAATAACTCCCATTCAAAATTTGTTTCTTTTCCACCAAAATGGACAAAAACAATAGTGGAATACTGAAATTCCAATGTTCCCATCAGAACATACTGAAATGCACCAAAATACACAAACTCTACAAAACATACCAAAGCAATGCGTTGTTCGACACTTAATAACAATATTTAACAATGTTCATTTTTATTTGCCTCTTTCCATCAAAAGAAAAATTTGAGAATAAAGAAAAGTTATAAATTTATTAAAATATCCAAGAATCCAGAAAAGGAGAAAATAAAAGAAACATTAAAATCTAAATAACACAAAAACAAATGAAAACTTGCAAAATCCTATAAAAGCTGTTTTTTAATGACCAAAAAAAGACTAAAATTAAGATCCTAACAAGCAAAATTGTCTAAAAATCTACCTCCCCCACAATAAAGCAATCTTGGTTCACTCCTTTCTCTCCTCTTTTGGAGAAAACAGATGCAAAATTGTTCGACCCATTGACATGAACAGTCCCCGAAGACCGCAATATCAACTCGTTCTTCTTTGATTCTTTCACCATTGATTCTGCAGATTCACGTTCGCCACAATACCCAGAATTCCGCCCGTTCTTGATCGAAAATGACTGCGCCAGTCCATTGAACAAGGATGAAAAATGACCCATTTCAACCAGCCTCTCTGCATAATTCAATTCCCATAAGTTCTTGTTGATTGCAGATTCAAAATTCTTAACAAACAAATATAGATATACAATTGAATTGTGTTATAGTTAGCTGAGTAAAAGATGTTACATGAGTGAGAAAGCTAAAAGAATCTGTGAATTATTAAAAATGGATACAAACATTTAGGATGAATATGGAAGAGACGAAAAAAAACATGCTTAAGTAAACGGAAATCAGAAAATATTCAATCTTACATGGAATTACAACATTACACGTAAGTAACACTTGTTTGGTAGCTCAGAAAATGAACTAACAGAAAAGAAGAAAAAAAAAATGCAATAATCCGAATCTTAAACTTCCCAATTATATATATATTATATATATATGACCATTTAGATAACAGAGGATCCAGAATTTTCTTTAATTTTTTGTCTCCATTTTCTAAGCAACCGAACAGAGGGTAAAACTAAGTCTACAAATAATACCCAAATAGAAGTAGAGAAAGCTAAGAATCTGAAATTTTTCAAAAATAAAAACAAACATTATGAATCAGAAAGAAACTAAACAACCATTCCATAATGGAAATCACGAAAAGCAGAGGAAATTAAGAAAATAATAAAAAGACCATTGCCTGTGGCAGCCGCAAAAGACCCAGAACTTACTTTACATTTTCTTTTCTTTTTCCTCCATTTTCTAAGCAACCGAACAAAGGATAACGATGCCAAAAATAGTGATCTGTTGTTCCTATTTATATATAACCCAATGAAGCAATTATAATCTGGTAGAAGCATTTACCAGGGTTGTCTTCATGAAATATGGCGCTTTCCTCCCTTTGCAGCTGACAGTTGTCAGTCATGTTCACTATAAAGCCAGAACAAGATAACAAATTAATACTGAGCATAAGCACAACTATTAACCACAACATATAACAGTTTACAAATATGCTGTGTATGCTTCCATGCCATTATCATTGGCAAGTAAAAACAGGCCATTTATTGAAGGCAAACAATGTGCTCTGCTTGTGTTAGCCAAGTTTTTTGCCATCCAGGCACCAAGAATGCCTATTAGACAAGTGGCTCAAAGGAGAATGGACACAATCCTTAAAGACATTCCAAGCTAGAAGTTCAATAATCTATGAAATAAAACAAAGGGAGAGCATTCTTAATGTATTCTAAATTACCTGCTTGTGAGGTTGGCAATATTACAACAAGAGCATCTGGGCCTACTTTAACAGTTGCAGCCTGTAAATGGCACAGCAAAGGTCGTCTTGCCGTAGTTCCTTCAAATGGAACTTCTAGAGGCAATTGGAGTGGGCTTGCAGCAAGCTGCATTAGTACTCATGCCTAAACATTTTGGTCACATTAGAGGCCTAGAATACCATCAGAATAATCTCAGGGAATTTACTCAGAAGGAAAAGCTTCAATACCTTCTCAGCTGGCACATCATCATAGACATTTACTTTGCCACAACCGAATATTGTCATTTGTCCTTCTGGGCCATTTGCTGCACTTGCGGTTCTGGGTTCATTTAGAACAAAGAAATATGTCATTTGTCAGTCATTATCCACTCATACAGACAAACACACTTTGTACAATTGCAAGTTAATTTGGATTGCAAGCTGTAATATAAAATAAATGAAGTAGTTTCTCCCGAAGTAAAAAAGTACAAGAAGTAACCAAATTTGGGGTTGTGGGAGCCATGCCAGGATGTGCACAAAGAATATACCGAAGTAATGGTTCCAATAGGATGTTGCCCTGGCCCAAGTTAATGTTCTTAAAATGACAATTATGCATTTTGTTTTTTTGTTTTTGTTTCATTGATATTTTTAAGTAGCATTCCCTTATTTTGGAATATTGTTCATTTGTTCTTCCCTCATGTTATTGGCTGGTATTCTTAACAGGATCCTAAGAGTTCAAAGTCAAAAGTTATTCATGATAACAGAAGGTATTTATTCCTTTCGAATTTCTGCACAAGGAAAATCTATATCTGCAATGGGTATGCTGCTAAAAAATACTTCTCATTAGCAGTGAAAAGGAATTGAAGACAAAAAAGGTTGTTCATGAACCTAAGCCTTCTGCCTCAGAGAAGCTTGTTCCTAAAGCACGTCAGAATGCAAACAGGTTTATGAAACATCATATGCAATGCTTCATTACTTGGATGTTTTGACCTTCTGAGGTTTGACATAGAGTTACTGTTGTGCAGGCCCAAGCAGGTTGAGAATTCAACTAAGTCAGGCATGAAACAAAGCTTGGCTGTGTTCAATTTCAAAAGTGAGGAACGGGCAGAAAGGAGGAAAGAGGCAAGAACTCATGCTGTTTTATTAATTTTTATTTAAAAAAAAAAAGAAAAGGAAAAGAATCATGGCTGTGACTTGTTCATTTGTCTGTTTTCCTCTTTCATCTTAGTTTTACATGAAGTTGGGGGAGAAAAAGCATGCAAAGAAGGCCGGGACAAATCAAATTCAAGCAAATAAACTGGTACATAAATTCAATGCAATAGTTATCTAAAGTGTACGGTTATGTCACAGAACCTACAGTGCTAAAGGAGAAAGGATAGATAACAAAAGGATGCAAACTTGCAGGGAATTAGTTTGTCAATGAAAAAATGCCAATATGAGTAATTGCATGAACATTATGACCAATTTACCTGAATTTGCACCTTCTTAACTGCCTCTGTAAGCAACTGACACCCCACAATATCCTGCACAATATCCTGAACATTATGACCAATAACGCACAGTTGTTTTTCCTCACACTATCATTCTGCTATTCTTCATTCAAGGAAAGGAAAAGGATAAGACCAACCTCTTCAGAGTCTCCGTGGGAAGCAACGATGTCCTGAAAACTGACTGGGGGTGCCACGGATATTCCAACCTTGTGAAAGGAGATCTTTCTTCTCTCTTCTATTTCTTTCTCAACCTTGCAAAATAATGTTTTCCGTAAGAGAAAAGATTATGACATCACAAAAGACTAACCTATCAGGAGTAAGCATGAACCTAGGGTGGAGGGGGCATACCCTGACAAAATAGAGGAAGAAGCTTGATTTGAATACTCAACAAGAAGCCAGATTAGAGCAGTTTTTGGTAACCATCCAGCGATTTTTAGTGTTTTGGGTATAGCTTAGATACTTTCTCACAGAGGTGCCCCACAGATGATGAGTTCTTATATATATTTATTTTCCTCAATCCTGCAATTTTGAGTTATGCATCATGCAACAAAAAGAATGATTTATGAGTTAAGCATCATGCTAGTAAAATGTTCTTCAGGGAGAAAAATGGCAAGACGGGAGCTAGTGTTCCAACAAAGTACTCACAGTTCTAAAGAATTTACCATGCAAAACACAACTCTATGTCATGACACAAGACCATGTCACAAATGATGCTCTGAAAACAATTAGATGTAGGACCAAATTGAAGAACTAACATATTACAAGGAATTATCAATGTTAAACCTTACAGTTTTTCCTTAATGATTTTTATGTTAAAACCTTAATTAATAATCATATCCTCGATCATCATGTAGAAAAAATCCTCTTCTTTATATTTCAATAACAAATAAAGAGTCCCCAGTTCTTTTAAGATATCATTGATGCCAAACTAAAACAGGAAAGAAGCTATGTTAGAACGAAGGGACAGACCTGGAGAGTCAGAGCATTGGTGTGTTTGGTGACCAAGAAATTGGTCAAGTTCACACAATATGCCAAGGCAGAATTGAAGAGTAAATAAAAGATTATTTTGATATCATCTCTGGCAAGAGCTATTATGATCCCAACCATGTTTTCCTCCATCAACAATGTAGCAGGAATTAAGAACTAAACAGCTATTGGTGCCATGTATAACAGAAGGTTCATAGAATTTAGTTTTTCCCTGGAAAAGAAACTAAGATAATAGTGTGGGTTTTCAATAATGGAAGCAGATAAATAATCTATAACAAAAATAAAGGACCCAAAATATTTACAATTTTGTTATAGAGACAAATAGTTAATTACCCTTCTGAGGACAGCAAAATGCCTTGAAGCAGAGACTTTAATGCCCTTGCAGCTGTAGCACCATGACACATTATAAAACCAAATAGATGGAAACTTGGTTCACCCTGCAGCCACATAACAAAGTTCAATAATATAATACATGAAAAGGTCCAAGAGGCCAAGAAACTCTAGAACATATCAGAAATACCGATTATAAATAATTTCTTCAACAACATAAACAAAGGTTATATGGATAACAGTGCAAGTAATTGAGTCATCATATAAATTAGCCAAATTTGCCAGTGCCAAACTTACAGCCATGGATTGGTAAAACATCATAAGGCACAAGATGAAAATGGACAAATCAATAATAGGATAAATTACAAGATGAAAATGGACAAATCAAGGGCTACAAGATAGTTTGATATAAATTATGAGGATGTTCAATAATAGGATAAAGTACACTGACCTCCCCCTTAAGTTTAGAGAAAACACAACAAACGCTACAATTTTGACATAATTACGTCGATCTCTCCTTTTAATATAAAGCTAAAAGAACAAAAATTATTGCAAATGATGTGAATACATGAAAATAAATAACATTTCAGTATAAAACTATAACAACCTTTTAAGAAAACCAAATCTAATTATGCTTAACTAGTGCGGTTTACTAAAAATCAATTAAATCCCTATATGCAACATTTTTCTTATGTATGCTATGGAGAAAACTTTACCTTTTCAATTACGAGGAAGAAATGTGAATACATGAAAGGAATCCACCAAACCACCTTGGAAGAACAGGGGTTATCAACCCACCATTAATTGCCACAGCAACTGCAATATTTATACTGCTATTATAAGTAAAACTCTTCCCATCTTTACATGTAGTATTCACAACTGGGTGCTGAGCAAGTGCCATGGCCGCAACCTTAGCTAACAATGCAGTCATAGTCACACAATGAAAAAATTTATGAAAAAATCTAACAAATGTTCACTAAACACAAGAAATATAAAAATATATCAGTTTTTTTATTTTATGTTTCTTCTTAAAATATATCATTTTTATGTTTCTACTACAGTCTACAACAGTAAAAAGAGGGCAAAGTCAAAGAACAGGGGTCATTTTACATTACCTTTTTTTTTTACCTATTTTTTTTTCTTTTTTTTTTAAAGATGATTACAAATAAAGGCTCTAGACGCAAGTTGCATGAAATTCCAGTGGCTGTAGGGAAAAAAAATGTAAAAAATAAATATATATATCAGCAAAAAAATGGAGTTCAGGAAAAAGGAAGAAGAAATCTGGACAAAACAGAAATCTAGAATGGAAAAACAAATCTGGATAAGATCAAATTTGTTCTTGGTTTGGCTGCAATGAGAGTTCAAAAATCGGAAAAAAAAATGAAAAAAGAGGAAAACAGAAATCTCGACAGACAAAAAAAAATCGGACAGAACAGAAATCTGGAAAAAAATGAAAAATTATTGTCTTTGTTCTTCGTTTGCTGTAAAGAAAACAAAATAAAAAAATTTGGAAAAAAAAATGAATCGAAGAGGAGGACAAATCTGGACAGAACAAAGAAGAAGAGGAAGAAAAGAAAAAATCTGGACAGAACAAAAAATGAATCTGTCGTTCCATGCAATCACCTCATTGTCCATGTGATTGAAGCGTACTCTCCATCGCGATCTTCCACTCCTCCGTACTCGAATCCTTTTTCTTCTATCTCTTCCTTTACAAGTTCATGTAACCGATCTCTTACACTCATCTGCCACCTACAAAGAAAATCAAACACCTATTAAACACTTGTTAATGAAAACCAAATATAAAAGACTTGCTTGAAACCTTGTTAATCAGCAAGATTTAACAAAATGTGTGGAGAGATCAGATTAGATCGAGTCGGATTTTGATGAGATTAGATCGATTTTCTTGTTCCAATTTCGGCTCTACAATTGCGAAAGAGATCAAGTTCGGGTTTCGATTGAAGAAAAGCTAGGGCAAAGAACAAATATACACAAATGCAAGAGAGATCAGATCAGATCAGATCAGATCGAGTATGGATTTCCGATTCAGATTAGATCGATCTTCGTTCGATTTCAATCTACGATTTGTGAACACATCACACACACACACACACACACAGAATTTGATGAAGAACAGCGTAGAGTGAGAAAGAATCGATTCGAGTCCAATGAAGAACAGCTATTGAGAGAGATCGATATTAATCGCAGAGAGGAGCAACTCATGAGAGATTGTGTTCTTTGGTAATTGGAATGGTGTTAAGTGTCTGTTAAGTAAAACAGACATGCTCATTTGAACCATCAACAGGCATATCATGCCTTGAAAAAACGTGTTGGCTATTGAGATATACCACGGCGTTTTCA